GCAAATAGGGAAGGGTGGAGGGGGTGAAGGGAAGTCAGGGGAATGGGGAAAAAATGAGAACCAATATACGTCATGTAAATGTACAAGATCCCAATGATGAATGTAATTATTTTATACCTAAAAGGTACCAATAAACTTAATGGGAAAAAAATTTTAAAGAAATGTCTATTCATTTTCTTGAGTATTGCTGAAGTGCAGACTACCCAGCCCCCACTCTCAGAGACCCTCTTTAGTGCAGGTGGGCAGAAGTCCCAGGATATAGATTTTAATAAGAACCTTAAGTGACTCATTTTCAGAAATTCTGGTTTGTTTAGGTATCTTATGTATATGATGTGAATGACATCAACAAATACCCTTTTCGTTTTTTTAACATACCTTGATATTCTCTGTCCCTCAGTTCAAGCCATATTTAATAAAATTTGGGTAATTTAATAAATACTTCAGTAAAACAAAGAAGTATCATTTGTATCCAAGAAATTTTTGCCCACACTAATGTTATGGAGATTTACCACCATGTTCTCTTCTAGTAGTTTCATAGATTTGGCTCTTACATGTAATTCTAATTCATTTTGAGTTTTATTTTTAAACATGGTGTGAGATTAGTCTAATTTCATTCTTCTGTATGTAAAACCCAGTTATTCCAAAAATCCTTTCAGATTATTTTTTGAGACACAGTCTCCCCAGGTAGTTCAAGCTAGCCTTGGAACTCACTATACAGCCCAGGCTGGCCTTGAACCCGCAGCAATCCTCCTGCCTCAGCCTTCCAAGTGCTGGTATTACAGGGGTGTGCCACTATACTTGGCTACCCAAAACCTTTTGTTGAAAAGTAAAACTCACTGCAATTGCATGTTTTTAACACCTTTGTCAGAAATTAATGAACTGCAAATACATGGGTTTATTTCTGAGCTCTCTATTCTGTTCCATTGGTCTATGTGTCTGTTTTTCAGCCAATTTCATGCAGTTTTGATCCCTGTAGATTTGTTGTATATTTCAAAGTGAGGCATTGTGATACTTCCAGGTTCTTTTTGCTCAAGATTGCTTTGGCTACTTGGGATCTTTTCTGTTTCCATACAAATTCAAAATTTTTTTCTACTTCTTTAGAAAAATGTCATTGATATTTTGACAGAGATTTTATTGAATCTGTAGATTCTTTTGGATAATATGGACATTGTAAAAATATTAATTCTTCCAATTGAAGAACATAAAAGTCTTTCCATTTATGTTTTCTTCAATTTCTTTCTTCACTGTTTTACAGCTTTTATACAAGTCTTTCACCCTGGTTAAATTTATTTCTAAGTATTTTTGGAACTATTGTAAATGGAATTGTTTTCTTCATTAGACAGTTAATTGTTAGTACATAGAAATGCTATTAATTTTGTGTGTTATTTTCTGTCCTTCAACTTTGCTGAATTTGTTTATTAGCTCTACCAGTTTTCTTCAACATACATATTCCTTTAAATCATACTTAATCCCCAACCTCAACTAACACAGTAAATCCTTTTTTGCCTATTGATTCAGAGGCATAAAACAATAGACAATAGCATAAGGACAATAGCAAAATTAACTTCTGCCTAACATAATTCATATATTCTGTGTAAAACTGAAAACATAGTTCTTTCTCCAGAAAAAGAAGCAAAATCCGCAGGTAAAGTTAATCCTTTCCTTTGATATCCAATAATTTAAATGTCATGATGTAATTTTAAATATTTTTAATAGATAATTTTGTTATGTGATAAAAGGATGAGAAAAGAAACAAAACTACTTTATTAATATATAAATATAGCCATACTAAATTAAGGAAGAAATATTCATAACTGTTATAATCCTGGTTTCTGCAACTGCTCACATAATTACAACTCAATTGTGCAGTTACCTGCTTACAATCACCTTCTTCCATTGCCCTCCATGTTCACTTCACCCTCAGCAAACACCTCAGTTGTTGTAGTGTGTTTTTTCTAGCTAGGTGAGCTAAACTTTCATTCCTGAAGGGTCTAGGCAATTAACAGTCCTGCTTGAATCTGGTGGGTCTAGTTTTCTATTGACTTTAATCACACAATATTTCGATACTATGAGGTACTATCTGGCAATTTTTGTATCCCAGACATACTCTTCTGTACTCTGCAACAGCAGCCCAGTTTCCTCTGGATAACCTCAACTAACAGAGTACATCCCTTTTGACCTGTTGATTCAGAGGCATAAAAACCCCAAAGTGGCTACCAACAGTGTCAACTTCCAGTTCAGTAGAAGCATTATGTCTTTTCATGAAACTAAGACCTCTAGACCACCAGTCTAAGGTTAGAAAGACAGGAAGCAGGGCTAGGGATTTCGCTCAGTGGTTCTGCCACCTGCCTCACAAACACAAGGTCCTGAGTTCGATCCCTGGTACCCCCCCAAAAAAAAGAGAGATAGAAAGACAGGAAGCAAAAAACTTTGCTAGTGGGTCAGTAGGGATAATGGTGAGTAGAACCATTTTCATCTTTTTTTAGAAAAGAATATGGCATTTTATTCTCACTTATAGATATACAGTACATGAATTAAGAAATAAAATCATGATAGGGGCCTCAAATATTGAAAGCTTTTGACCTAACATGCCAATATTAATCCATTCCCTGCAAAGCAGGAACATTAGCAGTTCAAACTTGGTCATTGTCATAGTTATTGATGTTGAGTTTTTACTGTGAAATACCCAGTAGCACTTTAACCCAGTAGTAGGCCTGAGCTAAGTTTCAATGTGCCATCTTTGGAACAAATTGTGTTTATTTACATGTTAAGAGTAGGTGGTTTTATTCACTTATCCTACAGTGAGTTTAATGAATGGTTTAAAGCTACACAGATTTCCCCAGCTATTATTTCCCTTAGTGTTTTTTTAATTATTATTTTTTATTTTTTTAATTTTTTTATTTTTTGGTACCAGGGATCAAACTCAGGACCTTGCGCTTGGGAGGCAGGTGCCAGAACCACTGAGCTAAATGCCCGGCCCATCCCTTAGTGTTTTTAAAAGCAACAACTCATTACTGTTTATAAAAGATAATGCCAGAAAAAGGTAATGTTAAAGTAAAGGTGCTTTAATATTTAAGGACAACATATGATATTACTATTGGAAAAAACTGTACAACACAACACTGAAATAGTATAGCACTATTAACTCATTTGTTTTTAAAAAGTGGTAATATCTACCTTATATACTATTCTAGTATCTAAACCTCATAATTATAATTTGAGTATACAATCTAACTTACAACTGTGCACAGCTTCTGAGGCATATTTTTTCAGGGTTTCTTTGCATATCAATTAAAATTAAAGTTGGCCCTTGATCTGGAGATTATCACTACTGGAAAGCACTGAGTTTAGACATTTATTGAACAAAAAGCCTGACAGACTGAAAGCAATAAAACCATGCAAAGGAAAGCAGCTGCAGCCCTCAAATTTATTATCAAATCTAGCACAAGACCTGCTCAGAGGCTTGAGATTTCTACCCTATGATTCCTGGACCCATGAATACTGGCTGTTGGAAAAGAACACCATGTAGTGAGTTCTGATTTAGAGCATTTGCAGCTCTCTGAAGGACTGAATGAATGCCCGAGCACACAAGGTATTATCTATCACCTAGTTAGCACTGTCACTGAATGATCAAAAGGTGATTTCACTGTTGTATCCAGGGTGATGATGAACATGCTAGGACCAGTGAATTCCATGAACATGGGCCCATTGCCATGTTTCATTTGTCTGAAGTGAATTCCTTGATCAGAAGTAATGCTATTTATATCTTATCTACCATTTTATTACTAGAATCTTGCATGGTACATAACAGAATTTTGAATACATGTGGGTTTCTTAGCTAAAAATGAACACAGATTATTTATTATCAGATCCTTTGTAAAAATAACTTTAAAGTTTTCTTTAGAAATATTCCAAATGTTTTACAATAAGTTAAATGAAATTGTTCAGTTTACTGTGTTCTATTTGAACTTGGGAAAACTCTACTACCCTTTTCCTTGTGTGAAAGAGTTTGGAATTAGATCTGCTGGGTTAAAAATCAATTCTTTGCCTTTACTTTCTATGATTACATAAAAGAACATCCTTAGATTATACATTTCTGTTAAACATGGATGCCACCTTTATTCCTCTTGAACATCCTACCTGCTCCTCTCTTCTACTTGATAGATATATAGGATCTAGGCTAACATTACTTTTGATGTTGAATACATATCCAATGATACCCAGATGTCAAGATTTTGGAAGATGTGAGAAATATCTCCCACCTTCGTGGTGTATTTTCATACTTATGAGACACCTGGTTTACAGTGGTTTCATTACTATCATCAAGTACTTAACATCTAGTAAAGAGAACAGAATAACTATAATAGGAATTTCCAAAGACAGTCATGCACAAATAGGGAACATGTCTTGCTTACATTTTCTCTCCCCTAGAAACATAAAGGTCATTGAATAGAGCTCAAGAGTACATACTTTATACCCAGCCATGCTTCTTTGTTGAAGAATTTTAAACATTCTAAATTCTGAGCAGATGACCTTGGGTCAAACTCACTTTCACCAATACCTCTCAAAGATGAAAGAAAACCACTATGAGAAGATCTCTAGAAATTCTTCTTGTTGAGTTTTTAGATTTTTATGTTCATTTTATTGTCTTATTTCTGAGAGGTGAGGAGATAACTGTCTTGGTGCAGCTGGGCAGATGGCCAAAGTAGGGAAGGCACAGACCCACTAACCAGCATTTGACAGCCTACAGATGGCATCAGGAGTGATGGGATGGAATATGCTGTGTCTCTGAATTCTGTGTGGGTGATGTAAGCGACCTCAAATTTGCTATATCTGCCTACATGCTGCACAGCCCACGGGTCAGAAGTTTGGGGACACATGTCATATCACATCACCTGTTCTAGTTTAGTGCATAAAACTCCAAGCCTGAAGAAGGTGATATATTGTGCAATTCTCAGGGCCAAGAGTTTTGACTGCCACCACCTCTGGGAAGCCTAACTATGTATCTCTTCTTGATTATTGCAGTTCTGCTGATCCAGAAACCCACAGGTAACCCAAAGCTTTCCAGGGCATCAAGAAAATCAGCAATGAGATGGAGTATTTCCAAGAGCCCAAGGGAATATAATCATCCACAATATGGGGAGATAGGGTCTCCCTGGAGGACCAAAGTCTATGCACAAAGAGAAATTCCCTCTTCATTGGGTCATGGTAATATCCTTGAAAATAAGTAGTCACAGAGCTGAAAAGAGGTCATAATTTCCTGAGAAGGCCTTATTATTTAAAAGAATGAGCCCAATGTCTCAAGATATCTTTATTTCTCTGCATAGGTATTACTCTGACACTCAGCCATATTTTTTTCATTCAAATATACATTTTAGCCCATTACATCATTGTGTGTAAATAGTGGAAAAAGCACAAACTTTGGAGTCAAGTTTTTTTGTTTTTGTTTTTGTTTTTGTTTTTTGTACCAGGGATCAAACTCGGGACCTTGTGCTTATGAGGCAGGCGGTGGCACCACTGAGCTAAATCCCCGGCCCTCTTTGGAGTCAAGTTTAAGAAATATGACTTCAATATTTACTATTTTGTCAACTTTGGATAAGTAGTGAGGACTCTATGAGACTCAGTTTCTTCATCTGTGAATATAATAACACCAGGCTCACAGAGGTTTCATTAAATGATACAACAGATGTGAAGCCACCTAGCATAATGTCTAGCTCATACTGTAATTTAGAACTTAGAGTTTCCTTTTTTCTTTCAAAACCAGATCTCTTGAATTTCTCCCTCACTATAGCAATAGTAATGGTTTGTCTTGACGCTAAATTTCTCAGATTCAGAGAAGCTCTAGAATTTAGGATTGGAGGAAACATCTTTGTTTACAGAAGCCGAAATTTGAATAGCCTGGTTCTTACCTCACTGAAAGTATTTAAAGTCACTAAAGGAAAAAATGTATAGTAAGGTGAGGAGAATTCTGGGACTGAACATCGGATAAATTCTTACCTCTGGCGGTAGAGGGAGAATGGAAAGTCATAGAGGGATAAAGCAAGTTCAATAATTAGAAAGATGTCCAGATTATTCTGATGACATAGAAACAAAGGAAGATATGCACTGGCAGAAGTGTGCAATACTGAGAATAAATAAGGAAGGAAGATCTTTGAAGGGAAAAAATTACCCGATAGTAACAAGAATGATTCTTGGCCATGGTAGTGGGTAAGAAGAGAATTTAACTCAGGAATAAATACACAACAACAATTTATTTGAGCATGAGAGATAGGGCAGCTGTAAGAACACAGTGCCCTAGAAGCATTCAGAGTGAGGCAGATTTGCTGAGGTTCATCTTATTAGAGAATTCTTTTTAAGATATGAGAATGGGCCTTATGGATACCCCATACTCCTAACTCCTACAAACCTCCTATCCCTTCCCCATAACCAAGTCATCTTCAGTCTCAAAAACTGATCTTGGTCTATTGTTCTTTCATGTGAACAGTAACAGAACAACTTAAGAAATGCTGGGGACACTATGTACAGGGAAACTGCAGAAAAATCTGCAAAGTAACTGAAATACATGAGGTACTATGTGAAAATGGGAGATACTGTTGCCTCAATATCAAGAAATTGGAAGAATGGAAAAAAATTACAAAGCCACCTCCTCCAAAGCAAGCACCATTTGCATTAACTCTTCCTCAAGATGAAGAAAAAATGGAAACTTCCTCAACCCCCAAGACATATCACACATAAATCAAGTTTAATTTCCTCTTCATTTATTTCTTAGTGTATTCCAATACATCAAGATGATGAGATCTGCATCTTCTACCTTCTAATTTCTTGATCTCCAGAATGATTTTCAAGCAGATTCTAATAAAGATTATTTCCAGGCTTCTGACTCTGTTCTTTAACCAGATGCTAAACCCTTACTCTATGCTAGGTAATAAATTGATAAGGACAACTCAGAACCTCTCATCAAAAAGTCACTTATAACCAATACACTAAACATAAACAAACAAAAAACTATAACATGGAATATTGGAATAAGAAATTCAGAAAATTGATATGTAATTCAGGAGAGGAAAAAGTTAAGCAAGTATTGGAGGAAATTCATGAGTGAGTTTAGCATTAAAGTGCTGCCTTGTGAAAAATGCAGGATTTCAACAGAGAACTGTTAGCTGGGAAGCAAATCTGAGCGAATAGAATGGCATCTACAAATTGAAGGAAATTGGAAAAGATAGGACATTTCAGGAAATTATACATACATTTTGATTGGATGAAAAAGAGAGCATTCAACGGTGAACTATGGAGAAGTATGATTCTCTAAGCACCTGTGTACCAGCAGTGAGCTGAGAAGACAAATGAGTAAGGCCCTCCATCGCAGAGCTCACCATGTGACACAGAGCGTAGCATAAATAAGTTTTGTTGTCATTTCTGTTGTTCTTTGGTATCAGGACTCTTTGGAGTTAGGGTGAAATGTAAAACATAGAAATTAGTTTGAAATACAGTATTATATGAGATTTTATTGTCCTGATAGGCAGGACAACACGAGGATGATCCAGATATACACTCCACCTTATCCTTAAAGCTATACCTTTTGAATATATTTAACATGAAAAGTTTTATTTCTAACTACATTTCACATTCATTTTCAAGTTTTGTCTCTTATACTGTGTCACCATAACTATTACAGGCATTTATAAGATTTCATTCATACACTAATTTGTGGCATGTGTTCCATTTATTACCTTCTGATCTCCTATTCTAGGGCTGGGGCAGGGAATATGAAAGATGAGGCTAGAAGATCTTGTACTGGCAAAAAGTAAGGAAGTACTTAAAAATCAGAACAATGGGACATGTAAAAGGAAGACAGGAGTGAATCTGAAAGAGCTTTGAATGACCAAAGCTGGGACAACTTGCACAATAAAATAAATTACATAGCATTGGAATATAATATATAAATAAATAGCTATGAATCCTTGCTGGCATGAATTAATTAATAATTTGGTGAGAAAAGACAGATACACCATATAGAATAATCCCAACTAATTTATGTAAATATCCCCTTCTCAAGAAATGAGCAATTACTCTCAATCTCCTCTCGCTCTCTCTCTCTCTCTCTCTCTCTCTCTCTCTGTGCTTAGTAACTGGCTTCCGAAGAGAGCAATATAGAAAGGAAGAGAAAGGAAACTCTACCCTGATAAAATCATGTTTCCAGGTTTATGGAGAAATCAGTGCTGTTAACATGAACTTCTGGTATAATGTGGTAAGAATAGGATTTCACTATGTCATCTTCCTCCCCAAAATCTGTAATCCCAGACTAACAATGAGAAAAAAAGCACAAAAATTCAAAGTGACATTCTGAGAAATATCTGGCCAGTACTCCTCAAAACTGTCTAATTCATCAAAAACAAGAAAAATCTGAGAAATTTGTCGCAGATCAGAGGAAACTAAGGAGACATGACAACCGAAGGTAATGTGGAAACCTAAATGAACTTTTGGAACAGGAAAGGGGCATTAAGAAAAAGCTAGTGAAGTCACAGTAAGTGTATAGCTCAATTCATAGTGATGTGTTTAACAATGACCGATGGACCACAGTAGTATAAGATCATAGTGTAAGACCACAGAGGGCTAGGTGTGCTATGTCTTTCTTAAATATTGGATAGAATCCAATGGTAAAGTCAACTGAGACTGAATTCTTTATGAGAAATGTTAACTATAATAGGTTTTTTCACAAGTTAAAAGGCAATTTCATTTTCTGTCTCTTTTAGCCAATTATTGTATTTTTACTTGTATAATTTTCCCCATTTTTAAGATTCTCACATTTGTTCACCTAAAATACTTTGTGATGTCATCTTTTTAACTGGTAGTGGTGGGGTGAGCCTACTGACTCAGACCAGGGGGTACAGTGCAGTGCTGGAACAGTCCCTAACCTAGGACTACTGGAGCTGGCCTGGAGCTGGTCTGGAGCTGGGACCTGTCTAGAGCTTGTGGTCTCTGAATCTTGCCTGGACCTAGGGTAGGTCCAGATTTCACCAGTCACCAATCAGTTGAGGGTTCTTTTGCTGGAAATCATGAATCAGCAGACTGCATCTCTTCCAGTAGGTCCAGACTTTGAGCACAAAGAGCCCTCAGCCCTTATTGTTATACCCCTGGGGCCTGATGCAGCTGGTTGACACCAGTTAATGCCAGATGCCATTGGTCAATACTGAGTTGCAGGTCTCTGCCAGTTACTGCTCTCTGTCACTGATTTTTGTTGGCTGCTAGTCTTTGAAGCTCTTCAAGGCTAACAACCCCTACAGTTTGTAGCTCTTCTGTTAAGGCAATCTTTCTATAAATACTACACAGAATAATCCTGAGGAGGTTTACAGGACTTACCCAAAATCATGAGATTTATAGAACAGTAGAGCAAGGCTTTATTTGAACAAGACCTGAGCTGCAGGACATGAACACTAGTACGCCAGAGGAAACCCTCTTAGATCAAGCCAGGAAGCCTGAGGTGGGTACTGCTTATAATGGAACCAAATTTAAACCTGCTTATTGGTCCAAATTCAGGCATGTGATTGGCCCAAGCTCAAGCCTGCTGACTGGTCCAAATTCAAACCTGCTTATTGGTCCAAATTTCTCTGAACACAAACCTTCCAATCTGAGCCTACAGATTGATTCAAATTCAATTCTACTGCTTAGTTCAAGTTCAAACCTACTGCAGTCAGCGCACACATGTGGGGCATCCAGGATATCTGTAGCTGTCATGGCAGTGGTTAGGAAAAATAACAAAAGATTGGGCTGTTTGATTGACAGCTGTCAAATCTCCACAAAAGATGGTGGGACTTTTCAAGAGGGCTAGCTGTGTTAATAGCACCTTATTGGAATTTTGGGAGGTTGGAGATGTTAATGATGGGCCCAGATCCTTCCCTGAGCTCTGGCATGTTGGGGTGGTCTGCCCACTACTTCTTCAAGCATCTGGAAGGCTGAAACAGGAGGATTGCTGTGAGTTTGAGGTCAGCCTGAATTGCATAGCAAGATTCTGTCTCAAAATAATAAAATAATAATAATAATAATAATGATAATAATAATAATAATTGCTTCTCTTCTTCATGTTCATACCTTTTCTTTCTTTCTTTTTTTTTTTTTGGTACTGGGTATCAAACTCAGGACCTTGCGCTTCTGAGGCAGGCAGTGGAACCACTGAGCTAAATCCCCAGCCCCATATTTTTTCTTTTGAAAATCTACAAAGGTTTGTCTTTTAATTCAGGGTGCTCTCTATCCATGCCATAAAGCAATTGTGAAGGTGTCATAGCTTCACTGGATAGCTAGTCACAATATATACAAAATGGGCTTGGACTTTTGAACAAATGGACATAATAGAGGTTTACAGAGTGTTCCACCCTGTTCCACAAAATCAGAATATACATTCTTTTCATCTGCACATAGGTCATTCTCTAAAATAGACCACATACTAGTTCAAAGAACATGTTTAAGTAAATGCAAAGGAATTAAAGTTATCCCCTGTATATTATCAGGCCATAGTGCAATTAAACTAGAGATCAATAGCATAAGAAACTGCAAGAACTTCACAAACACATGGAAATTGAATAACACCCTCCTGGACAACCAATGGGTCAGAGGGGAAATTAAAGAAGAAATTAGACAGTTTTTACAATTAAATGATAATGCCAGTACAAAATACAGGAATCTATGAGACACAATGAAAGCAGTTCTACAAGGGAAATTCATAGCTGTGAATGCTTATACTAGGAAAACAAGAGAGAGCTCAGATAAACAACCTAATGCTGAATCTTAAGCTCCAAGAAAAAGAAGAGCAAGACAAACCCAAAGCTCATACAAGGGAGGAAATTATAAAGATCAGAGCAGAAATCAATACAATGGAGACCTAGAGAATGATACAAAAAAATCAATGAATGGAAGAGTTGGTTTTATGAAAGAATAAATAAAATTGATACGCCCTTAGCCAATCTTGTCAAAAAAAGGAAAGAAAAGGCTCAAATCCATGCAATTAGGAATGAAAAAGGTGAACTCACAACAGATCCAGCAGATCATCCATACCTACTTCAAGAACCTGTACTCTAATAAAATGGAAAACACAGACGACATGGACAGATTTCTAGATACATACAAATTACCAAAGTTGAACAAAGAAGATATAAAAATTCTAAACACCCTAATTACAATGAGTGAAATTCAAAACATAATTAAAAGTTTACCAACAAAGAAAAGCCCAGGCCCTGATGACTTCACTGCTGAATTCTACAAGAAATTTAGAGAAGAACTATTGCCACTACTCTTTAAAGTTTTCAATGAAATTGAAAGGGAAGCAATACTTCTGAATTCATTCCTGAAAGCAAGTGTTACTTTGATTCCAAAACCAGGGAAAGACCCAACCCAGAAAAAGAACTAAAGGCCAATCTCCCTAATGAACATAGATGCAAAAATCCTCAATAAGATACTGGCAAACAGAATACAGAGGGTCATCAAGAAGATTATACACCCTGACCAAGTCAGATTTATCCCAGGGATGCAAAGATGGTTCAACATATGTAAATCAATGTAATACACTATATTAACAGAGTCAAAGACAAAAACCATATGATCACCTCAATAGATGCAGAAAAAGCATTTGATAAAATTCAACACCCATTCATGATAAAAACCATGCAGAAAATTGGAATAGAAGGTCTTTATCTCAGCTTGATAAAGGCTATGAAAAACCAACAGTCAACATCATACTAAAT